AATGTAAACTGCTACAGCTGTACTAGATGACATTAGGATTAAAAATAAAGAATCTACAGCTTTTCTTTGAACCCGGGCCATTTTGGGGGGAAGCGGGTATTTTACCCCTGCACCACATTGTGGAAGCCGCGCAACGCTCTTAAAACTATGACACAATGCTGACCGACAAGACCGCCAAATGCGGATGGAGCCTGTTTGTGCTCCACTTTTCGAAGCTCGTTCCGGGTAATCCTCTGTTCTAGTACATTCTAGTGGAAGCTTGAAAAACAACTCTGCTCGCCTACAGATTCAGTTGATCAGAAAATCAAAAGTATCCTTACTTGTGTTCGTACTGTTATTGTGAAATGATCCTATCGGCATCTTCGGAGATGTGTTTGCCATCCATACGCAAAGTGCGTGGGCAGCACTAACTGTAATATGGCGTGATGGTGTGAACATGTCTCGAACGCCCATAAACTGGTCATACAGCTGAGATAACAGCTGTAAAATAGAACTCCCGGGGTTTACCTTGCCATACCCACGTGTGGTTACGGGGTGTGCTGTAATAGATGACAGCATAATAATTGAACCCATACTTATTAAACAGTTCAAAACATTCTTTAACGCTCTTTGCTCTGGGGCCGTCAATCAACGACACCACACGAAATTTCCGCTAGCACCTTGAAAACAATACTAAAGCTGCCTGCACATGGAGGAGTACTTTTCCAACGATCCCGACTGTGATCGCCACCACCGTTGAGTCATTTTCACGAAGTATGGAGCCATGAAGAAGAAGCTTGAACAAACTCATGGGTCAAGACATTTAAAACTACGGAATCCTAGCCGATCCCCCATAGTAGGTATGTGCCATATTCTGTAAAGGTCCAAGAAACAAACAAACAAACTATTGACTAACTCTATCGGTAGACTGGAAAAAGTGCTGAAACAAAACAATTCGTGGCAACGCCTCCTCGAGGTTCCTGCGTGCAACTTGTGACGTTGCCAGACTTAACGGCGTCTTTTAGGTTCGGCACAGTTCCTTATCGGCAGAAATTTATTTGACCACCTACCTAAGAAATCAGAGGCATAATACTGGCAGGGCAGCCTGGGCGACATTAGAGTTAACAGAACAGAGTTATAGTGTATCAGTCTAAACATACTCAGCGTTGAATAGCAGTGTTCCGTTACTGGGCAATTTCCGTTATTAAGCCAAGGATTTAATTTATTATAATTAGTTAGTCTCTGTGGATATGCAGCTGAGAGGTTGAAGATTTGAATTTGTCACCATCGAACTTGGTACCCCCATACCTGTTCCGCAAAGGTAGCACAAACAATTTTGCTGGATTTGTATTTTAGTGTTCATAGAATATAAACCTCCAAGGCATTCAACAGAATGCAAGCTACATGAATAGATAAAAAAGGCGGAGTATCTATTTAGTTTTAAATGACCAAATGGGGTTTTCCTTGCAGAGGCGCTGAAAGAATTTAGGGCGGTTGTGTTGTGTATGGCACATAAAATGCGGCCATTCCAAATATTTTAGTCCACCTAGGTGGGCTAGGGTGCTCGGTTGCTGAACCGTAGGTCGTGGGCTCTATCCCAGTTGTGGTGTTAAGGAACACTATATGGTCGAAAGTTCAAGAGACTCTTACTGCGATGCGTCTCATAACCATATTGTGATTTTGGGGCGTAATACCGCCTACATTAGAATTATACAGCCATGAACTCATGAGTCTTTACATTGGCCAAACTATTGTTCTGGATTTAGGCTTTCCGTCATCAAGCTTTCCATTAGTTTGCCCATAATTTTAGTCGTTCGTAACGTCGATGGACATTGATAACGGCCATTTTTTTTTTTCAAATTAACTCCCATACATATTTCATTGGTCATCCTCTCCCCTCGAAAAATTGCTGAGCGGCTACTGGCTTTGATACCAGCTTTTCTGCATATCTACTAATGTATGCTTTCAGTAAGGCTTCATCTTGCCTGCAGCATTTGTTGACGTGCAACGACACAAAGAACACACTCAACTGTATAATTATACAAGCTTCGTGCACTCGAAGAGCTTCCGGACACCTCGCGCTCATACAGGCCGTGCACTTTCCGACATACACCTTGCTTTTTTTTAATTGGCGAGGGAACAATGGCACAGATGTTCCGAACAAGGAGGCTCTTGGGGGAGATTTCTGACGTTAGTCATACAACGCAGTGGTCCACAGCTGTCGGTGTCACTAGGTCGCTACAGCCCCAGCGGCGCGAAGACGAGCTACGGCCGTGTTTGTAGTGACTCGCGCGAGGACCGAAGGTATGCCTGCGGCTATCGTGCTGACCGCCTTTCAAGCTATGATAGCGCGCTCACCGCTTGACCCGAAAGCAATGGAAGCACGGCGGTGCTTTTCTACTCGCCACCGATGCTGCTAGTGGCCAACGAATAGAGGGAGAAAGTGAGCGCGTAAGTACATCGATCGATGCTTTTCTAACACACCCCGAGCGCTGTAGCGAACGTATTGCAATGAAAACTGTATAGCGAATCGCGTGAAACCCCTTATCTTGCTGAACGTTGTTTGCCTTGTTCAATCCTCTTCCGTGTAAATTTCACGCGTGCCTTCATTTCGGCGGCTAAAAGCGTTGACAGCCTGATGAATTACCTCAACACCTGCAACATACCAAATTATTCGTCGTCGAAAAAATGCACAGTATTTAAATCAGCATTACTACCTCGCGTTGATCGTATTTCTAGCCGATTTATGACATTGGAGTTACTAAATGATTAGATCCTGTTACCATTGGCCTGAACAGCAGCAAAAATCCTAATGGAAATCAGTGAACATGAAGACTTGTATATATATTGTTGCACTTTTCAGTGATGAATGTGTATGGAGAGCTCTAGGTTAGAATTTACGTATATTAGAACACATGAAAGCTGTTATGTCTGGGTCTCTGCTACAAAAAGCAAAAAACAAACAAACAACAACGTTTTCTGGCACCAGGCATCAGACGTGCTATATTGCAATGTTTAGAATAAGGGCCGATTCAGAAGATAATTTTTGTGACCTTTTTATCCTATAAAATGTATGAACACTAATAATCATAGGCCTTAGCGGAAACATAGACTTACTATATTCATTTACTCTATATGAAGTGTATTGTGCTTATTCTGTAGGGAGTGTATTGAAGAAAACGATAGGGCATCATAAGTTCAATGCTTGTTTATGATCGACAGGATATGGTCAAACCAGGTGTGAAGCTTTCCGTTAAGAATAAATTTATATTAATAGAAACTTGCTGGTATATGAGTCAATTTATACAGAAAACTAACTTAACTGACTGCTTCTGCTGTACCCGGCATGGTGCAATTGTCGTGTACGAATACGGCAGAATTGAAGTTTTTTTTTTTTCGTAATACCAAACGCCTTGGCTTCTACGGTGGCAGAGTAGTACGACTTACATATTTATTGAATGTCATGTTGATTCGGCAATGAGGTACTCATGCCATAAAATTGTCGGGTGGACAATACTTGCATTATTGCAGCACTCAGCGCTTGTGCTTGCATGACGTATCTATTTCACCTATTATAATCCTCTCCAACATAAAAAATGTAGTCCCCAACCTATGAATAAATAAAGTGGAATGGCAAACGAACAGCCTGGTACTTCAGGCAACGTTGCATTCCACTCATACCGACAGTGACTGAGTTCTGGGGTAGTGTACTTCCTATATATATGACACGACCACAACACAGTCCAATAGATAGTTTACATAGAGTAAAGCTTCGATCGTCCTCACTTAGACCTATTTCATGTTTGCATACAGAGCTAGGTGCCCTCGACTTATATGATGAGATGCTTGTAACGACTTCACGATGCGTATGCTCCGGCCAGCCCGAAGCTCGTCGCCACTCTCAATGATCCCGTGAAAACTGGCAGAGCAGCGGCAAAGCTGCCACCGAGCACAACGTGTTGGGGAGCCTCGCGCTTGCGCTGTAGGCTTGTTTAGAAAAAGCGGGTAACGATTTAGAGTACTATAGGTACTATACTATGGAGGCGCTTGGCTCGTTGGCAGCTTTGCAGCAGATGTGCCAGTTGCCTCGCGATCACAGAGGGTCGTGGTGAGCTTCAGGCTGGGTGGAGCATATGCACCGTGACTCAAAGCACTCATTATTCGTGGAGCTTATCGATACGATCATTTTGTTCGCGAACTTTATTACCTTGCGAAAAAATAAATAATTGAAAAAAGCACACAATGAGATGGCCACAGCCGTAGGTACTGGAGCCATTAACAATATATTTTACTTTGTTTTTGTTTGTGTTTCTTGAAAACGAGAACACTGATAGTAAATGAGTGAGTATATGGCGACAATCTAGGGCGCTTAAAATAAAAACAACTGATGAAGGAGGTAGAACGTTGCGTACATGAACAACAACAACAAAAGCAAATAAACAAAAAGTAACATGCATAAAGGCTTGAATACCCTAAACTGTTTCATACGCTTGCTATCGCTTTACAGCATGTGTCCTTATAAAACTTCTTTTCGTTAGAATTTTTTGCGGAAGACATTTACTTCATTAGAAAAGTGAAAACGAAATAATAATTCCACAACTTGGAAGTTTACTCAGCTGGTGGGTGAAGCCCAGCTACAAAAAAATTCAATAATTAAGAAAAATAGAGTATGTTTATAGCTACGGGAGTGGCTGATAAGCCATATCTAAAAAAAGGTGTACAGAGGTCTCAACAACTAAGTTGTTATGATCACAAAGTTACAACAGTAATTTCGGTAAGGCGCATAGTGCGAATATCTCTGATCTATTTTGATTATGAGAAAATCTTTCCCCTTTCTTGCATTTTTGGCGATATTTGTAGCAATACTCAAGCGCCAAAACTGAGCTTTATTGAAAACGTCTGTTACTTTTTTTTCGCCACTTCGCTCGCAGCCGTTTTCGAGACTTGAAGCGTTTACTATCAAGAACACGATCCATCGCTAAGCATACGGAGAAGGAAATACAAAGGAAATAACTATACAACTTGCAGGTGGCGGCCAAATGCTACGACCTCGCCGCTATCACAACGGCCTAGCCACAAACAAACGGTTTCCTGTTGCACGCTCTCTGGCGAAGGCAAGATATTGCGATGACGCTTTTCCAGGGACATTCGTTCACGAACAAGGAGAGTGCTGTGTGTCTGTAGCAAACAAAACGTGGGTTTCCAGTGAACATGAAAAGCGATTATGCACCCAAGATCGCCTGTGAGGCCTGATTGGAAACTGAGTGAGTTTATAAATCTTGGGTTGTTGGCGATATGAAAATTGTTTGTTCAAGCTTTTGCAGTGCTTATTCGCAGAACCTGCCGTGTAGCGTTCGCTTGAACTTTGTGGCAAACGGTAGAAACCGGGAAATTTCGAAGGTATTGTTTTTTTTTTTTTTTGCGGCGTTATTGCGCTGACAACAGCGACACTAGGCTTTAGGTCGCAGTGAGAATTCTTCAATACAGCTGCACACTGTCGTACTTCTCCAAAGCCACTTTAACTCCAGGCCTATAGAACCGCGCAGCCGGTGTGATTTGAGGGCCTCACACAATGTTCATAGCAACTATGGGTCGCTGTAACCTTTTATGGCATGACACCACAGCTGATACTTAGCAACGCAACGTTGTAATGTGTCGAGTGACAGCATCGGTAAATATATCACAGCTTGGAGTGCTGTCGCGGCGGCAGTGAGACCTGTTATGCATCTAAACGCGTGCCTCATGAAAATGTTGAGGTTCAGACGCGCAGAATGTCAGAAGTCTTAGTAATATTTACTAAGCATCTACGAGATCTGATGCATGCATGTTGTCGTAGTTGTAAATGACACCCGACATAAACGCTCGCAAAACGCACACACACACACACACACACACACACACACACACACACACACACACACACACACACACACACACACACACACACACACACACACACACACACACACACACACACACACACACACACACACACACACACACACAGACGAACGCGCGCGCGCGCGCATGCACAACGCATCTATAGTAATGCAGTGACTGTGCAGTGTGGCCACTTTCCTCTGCTAGAACGGTGCTCTGCTGTAGTCGAGACGCGTTTTTCAGAATGTCTCACAGATGGCACACAAACACACGCAAACACACAGGCGCGCGCGAACGGTACATACAGGTTTTTGATCTAAAGCAAGAGTCGCATGGTCTCCAAAATACATGCTGCGCCATCACCATCTCGCAGGTGATGAAGAGTTTCGCAATGCCTCATAGATGTCAGCACCATATCTAGTGTTCGCTGTTTGCTTCATATCGTTCTCGCCCTACGAAACCCAAGGACCTACCTTTGTTCAAACAGATTCAATAGCAGCCTACCGAAATTTTTGCAAAGGCTACATTGGCCCCATTGCGCATTGACTTCTTACACAACTCTCGTCCTCACGCTCAGAGGGTGAATGGAAACAGCTAATATGTATACCTGGTCACTGCGGAGTTAGAGGCAATGCGCTCGCCCATACCTCGGCCCGAGAATTACTCTTCCGGACCTCCGACCCCAGCATATTGCACCCACTCTCGGCTTTGCGTATGGACCCGCTCCTAACATGGACAGATATTCTAGAACATCAAGGACTCGAAAGACGGAAACTTCCGCCCCCGGGGCCAAAGCTCAGCAAAGAATCTCAGGTGGCGTGGCGTCACCGGCAGACCTTGTCTTACCCCAATCCATGCATACTGTCCCAGATAGATCCCGACACATACGCGCCACAGAGCAGGTTCTGCGTCACTAAAACAGCCACCCTGTATTACATGGTATAGGGATGCCCACACAATCCACCTCTATAACCCAAAGGACAATCCGAAGACTCAAGAGGCCCTCGAGAGACGAGCGAGGACAGCGGCCCGTGCCATTGGGATGCCGGGCTAAGGAGTCCACTCACCGACATTCCTTCCTCGCTCACAAATAAATGTTTTATTCTCTCTCTGTTTGCTTGGTCGAAACCTCTGGAAAGGCATGATATGTTTTCCGCTTGATGGACATGCTTCTTCATTTTTAGAGCTGTTTGAAAGTTCCTATGTGTTCTTAGCGGCGCTCGCTGCACTATCCTGGCCTTTTTCGACATAGTTGGATGGCCTCCCAAATGCGCCTACACCGAATCGGCTCGTTTTGGTCGTGACAACTCGTTCTTGTTCTCTTTCACCTATTGACTGTGGCACATAACCATTATGAGAGACTGGCCAAGAATCAAGTGGTTTTAAAAGTTATTGTTTAGATTTAGAATAATGGAGATATAATAGAAAGATTGCCGATAACTTAGGAAAGTGTGGTGCTTGATCTAACGCATACAATTGTTTAAATAAAGTAACATATTTATTCTTAGAATAAAGCAATATTTTATTTCATACGTATATAATTTGGTCGACACGTTAAAATAATGAAACAGATTAATTATTCAGCCTTTCACTACGTGACATTTATGTAGCGTTTTTTTTTTTTTTCGGAGCAGCTGCAAGTAACGTCGTGGCTTTGTGGTGGGACACCTGCTTTCCACGTGAACGACTCAGGTTTAATAATCAATGAAACCGCAAATTTTATTCGTTATTTTATTTGCTTCTTACTTTGTTTCTCGCTCACGGACGTTTTCTTTTTCTTTTGCTCACAACCAACGGCGCCAACGCCGACAGCGGAATTTCAGCGAAATGAGCTCTCTAACGCTATCGAGTTGACATTGCGACTTTTTTGTGGCGTATGTCACTGCTGATATTTTCGTTAAGAGCACGCCTACATACGCCGTTGCACACCTGGGGCCTTGCGCGCCTGCTTCGTTTTCTAATCGTTGAGCGATGGAAGTACTTTTCACTTTCTAACGCAATAGCGTTCAAGTGCTCGTTCCGCAGATATTCCAGTCACCATTAGATTTGGCGTCGGCGTCATTAGTTTTGAGCGCAAATCAGCATTTTGTTCGTGACTGAGTAATCGAGAAAGATTCAAATGAAAAGTAAATAAATAAATTCTGGTCGGATACAGGAATGAACCCAGGCCGTCTGCGGGGGAAGCAGCTCTTCAACCACAGTCACAATATTTGTTAAAAATGCGTGGGAAGAAAAAAAAAACACTACGCGAATGGCATCATGTTAAGGGAGTCTTCCAATATACATCATACATTGCGTGGCCGAAGCGTAGCATCACGCCAGGCGTCAAGAAATTTGAATGGAGCAGCGAGTGGGTGTTTAAAACACCACCCATTGCAAACTGCTCACACACAATGAATTATTGTCAGCAGCAGAACGACCAACAAAGTACATTTGGGTGGCATCACAGTTTGGACTGACATGTCGTTTTCACAAGAACAGAAATTGTTTTTTTAATAATACAGATACTGAACCCTGGCACTGGCGTGCAATTAGTATCTTTTCAGAAAATTTCACTGTATCAAGTAAGATAGGAAGTGTAATTTTAGTACACAACAGCTTTGCCACAGCAACTTGTTCTAAATATGTTCGCTTCTGTCCAAAGGGCAAGTAAACGTGATATCTGATTTTTCTATAGTCTGATATTATATCTTATTTGATTTCTGTCACGTTTTATCCGTGTTAAGTCTAGTAGGAGGCTCACCTGCAAAAAGAATAATTATGGCCTAGTGGGCACTTAACAAGTGTGCATGCATGCAAGCCATTCAGTGATGCTGAATGCCACTGTCATCCAAGCAGTTGGCTGGGCCACCATCTTGTTTGGATAGCATAGTAGCCTAACATCCTTCTTGTCAGCGATGACGTGTTCTCGATGCTATCTGCTTTGCCAGCTGCGTGAGAACTGGAATGGGACTTAAGGTGGTCGCTGCCCACTTAGCTGTCTATTTAGCTGTCTATTTAGCCGTTTATGGTCAGTATTTGAACACAACCCTGCATGTCTACGCGATGAATAAACTCGGAATGCGTGACGCCGTTGTTGAATATACTCAATGCAAGCATATATGTTATTATTTACGTTCCTATTTCCCCCTTTCTGTTCTTTTAGTGACATCCCTCTTTCTCAACCTCACTTTCATTTCCTGTCGCCTGGCTATAGGCTATTTTACGCTTGGTTTTTAGTGCCAGCGTATTGGGCTGTGAACCTCGGTGTCTAGTATATTTATCAAATAAACCTGTGCTACGGCTGACATATGCGCATGAAAATACTTGAGTTGCGACATTCACCTGTTCATGGCATTATTAATGGCACAGAGTTAAAGAGCTGTTTCGCAGAATTTCTGGCGTCGGCGTCGTTTGTTGTGAGCGCAAAAGCAGTATGGTCTAGGAGCAAAAAAAAAAATATCTAGAAACATGCAACCAAGATACCTCCTAAACTTTTGGTGGTTTTAAGATTTGAAACAAGAATTTTTGCGTAGCAGGAACGTGTCCTACCACAGAGCAATGACATTGTTTTTAATCGCTAAACAAAAATAAAAGACTGTAGATGAATGGTATGCTGTGGGGGGAGTCTGCTTAAGCCATGTTATATTACGCGGCATAAATTTATATTCGCGCCACGCATCAAAGCCTTTCAATTTCACAACGAGTGGGCGTTTTACACGCTTACTTAGTGCTCAGAAAGAAAGCAGAGCATTCACAAAATGCCTATGTTTGAGTGTTGCCTTAGGACGGCTAAAGCGCCCTTCATGATTGTCAAAAGGAAAACTATTGTGCAGTGGGCACTTGGTAACTGTACTTGCAGTGCGAAGTTTAGGATAGTTTGAAGCGGCCATTTTGACGCGTATATACATACGCATCTCCGAGGCAGGCTTGCTTCTTGCGCCAAGAACTGAAATGGGGCTAACAGTTGAGAAGGCGATGCGCAATGGGCCTGGTTATAAGTGGCCTTCTGCTCTTAAAGGTGAAGCTCAAGCGGTCACAAGGTTTTTAATTCACGTTGTGCTGCACCAAATTAAGAAGACATTTGTATAACAGCTCATGAGGGGGGGGGGGGGGAGCGGGCGCCCATTTGCCTTACGTCAAATCATTGATACATAGCTTTCTTACGCATAATTTTGCCTGCGCCATGCAAAGCGATGACTTGAGATGACCGAATACAACAGCGTACAACATATGTGTCCCCTAATGTGCTCCTTACTTGAACATGTTGTCTGTTTTAGAACGCAGGTTGTTACGTGCTCAAAACTGAATCCGGTTTTGGTGGTGTAGTTGCCCAGCGCCGTCGTCAGTGTCTATTACCGGTGTTCTTCAGCAGCTATCACGCACAATCAGAAAGAGTAAACAAACTAAGAAATAGAAGAACCAAGGTTTAAGCGGGAATGGAATCGAAGCAGCTTGTGTGGCAGTGGAGTTTTCTGCCCCCGAACTACACCTGTGTGCCTTGAAATTATTTAGAAAATGACCCCATGCAGGCTTAAACCATTAGGATGATGAACAGAAAGATTTCTAATACCAGTGGTGTGTACATTTTTTATTGATATAATATAAAGGGAGATGTTAGTGCACAAGTAAGACACCGGCTACTCTTTAGCTCTTGAGGGAATATTTATAATACGTCTTAAAGGGAAAAAAGAGTGGCACTTGAAAAATAGAACACCACAGCACACATGCAAAACCCACTGATACGCACTTGTCAAACAACATCAAGAGACAGATACAAAAGTGTTAGGAAGTCAATGAATAATGCCTATGATAATGTATTTCGTTGATATCCATTTCAACCGCCACAAAATAGCATTGCACACCTACTGTTCTTATGGAGATGTATTCGCTCTTGTGCACATAACAGTCAGCACGTCATGTACTTCAACTGAGATATGTAATGGGTGTCCTATAATGCTGTGCACAACAATGTTATACAAATGAACTTTCAGTTAATTATGTCTTGTTCCTTGTCAGTGATGGTGCTGTCTTTAAAAAACACTTTAACGCTTTTAAAGCGTTCGTCTGTAAAGCTCCGGTTCTCCATGGGCCTAGAAGTTTCTTGAGACTTAAAGGTCTGCAGTTTAAGGTCAACAGTTTCAGTTTAACACGGTTTCTCAGCATGTCATCATGTAGGCAGTTTATAGGAAGGTGAAATACGTCTTCATCTACAAATTCCACTTCGCATTCACGAGTTTTAGCTCTGCCAAGTCTGTGTAAAAATGCTTGGTGTATGCGATGCCTAGCCTTAACCAGTGAATAAGCGCCTCCACACTTTTATCTTATGGTAGCATAATTTTGATTTCAGTGAATGTATTAATATAATATAAATCATATCTTCTTGTACTTTGGCCAAGCCAAGTATTGTTCCACATTCGTAATGTTGTAGCCTTTATAACACTACGCAATTCATCTTTCAACATTGGTTAATAAACAGTAACATCTTTACAATGTGATTGTCGTGCCGCTTCATCAGCAGCTGTATTCACTGGAATGCTTCGATGGCCGGTATCCACTGGAATTTGATCTCATGTTGCGCCTGGCTTGCTTTAGTGAGCTCTTAAAGTGTTTCGTAGATCATACAATCACTAATTGCTGTCGTGTTTGTACTGGAGAGTGATGCTAATGCGGTCTGGAAATTGCTGAAAAGTACTTATTTTCTCGCATCTCCTGCCGAGTTTATAAGCTTGATATAGCATACAGAATAGCGAATAGATCAGCTGTTGCAGATGACGTCATGCAACATACTTTAAATTATTACTTAATATTGAGCTGTCGTATAATAAATTCTGATGTTTAAGAGATTGGGATACTTGAACTATCTGTGTAAACATGTATGTACCCTGGACACGGGATGTGTATCTGATAAAGCGCTGATTGTTGAGCAGCTTGTATGAACATCTCTTTGTGATCATACCATCTACTGACGATTCAATGCTTGGTATTGTGAACAGCAACAGAGGATAGTCAACTTCAGAGCTCCAAAGTTCATTCCTCAGTAATATATGTATATTATTCTGTTATTTTTTATTAGTCTTAGGGCCAATGGCTGGTCTTTGTGTTGCGCCTGTAGGCAAAAAAAAAACTGGCGGCATGTTTTGATTGTTCTTATGACATGACAAGACATGTTTGTACATGTTAATAGAGAAATACTTATAAGGGACGCAGACTGAAGGGCTTGAGAACTGTCGACCACTAGAATATTTATTCTGAACCTGAATGCAAATCTACCGATGAAACAAGCTCGGCCTCTTGTAAAGTATCCAGATCAGTGTCAACGTTGGGAAAAAACACACTTCTCTTCAAGAGTTGTTGTGTAGGCGCAGGTAAACCATGGAAAAGCGAATGGAACCATTTTTAATTCTAACGAGCACTACAGGTGAGACCCACACACTTTGTCAAGATCGAATGACGTTCGCGTTAAATATATATCACCCACCTGTTCGCTAATGCCTTGGCGTTCTTCTGTGGAAACACGGTATGGTCTACACCACACTGGCGCATGGGAGCCGGTGTCGATTTACTGAAGAGTGGTAGAAGGTAGGCCACGTGCAATATCAAAAGATTTGCGGAGCCGGTACAGCCGGCCAGAGAACATCAGATTGTGGAGAAGGCGACATTCTGGCTGTGATCGATGAATTAAATACATCGAAAGTCGATTTATCAGAGTGGTTAACGGCACTGACGACAGTGAGGTTACTTCGGAATGGTTCTTTCTGCACGATAAAAAAATTGTTCCTTGTCGATGGGCTGCATGCATACAGGAGATTCGCCTTTGAACGGTTCGATGGGTACGGAAAGGGATTGTTGAGAAAAAAATAACTGGCTCCATTTGAATTCGAGAGGGTTAAATAAGGAAGAAAAAACGGTTCCCGACTTAGAAAGAGGCCTGATTAATCAATGAAGGCTACTTAATCACACCCCGTCGGAAAACACAGGAAGCAAAACAGCTGCTTCAGTGAAATTTCGGTGTGTTCTCTGGCAACCAGCTTGTGTGTGGCTTTATTTGTGTGTTCGTAAGGCTCGCCGAACAACGCAATGAGCTGAAGTTCGAATTGGGCAAAATCCTATAACGGGGTGAATATGCGATACAAAAATCTAGTGAAGTTTGATGTCATGATATCAAGAGGAAAGGACAATGAACTCAACCATACAGATGTCCTCCGTGACGCTGAGTCGGGCAGTTCAGGTGGCTATAGGCCAAACAGGTTCTCCATTTGCTGCACGTAAGCAGGTACTTTCAAGTGGCGTGGTCACTTTTCGAAGCCTGCGGCAAAGTTTAGCGTCTACAACCGATACGGTAGCACCGGTATGTAAAATAGCTATGCATGGACGCTGTCTACAAAAACTTCGACAACGTATGACGCCAAAGTTCCAGGACTTGAGCGGTTTGATAGCTCAGTTCTTGCCTACTGAACTGCGGCAGCTAACTTCCCTCATTTTCAGGAGCTGCTGGCCGTCGATGCATGGGGGACAAGGAGTGACGACTGGGTGAAGGTGAGCGACGAGACGAAGTTGCCAGATAGAAACGTTAAGTCGAGCTGGACTTAGGATCCTTACTTTAGTAACGAGAAGGGAGTTGGTCAATTTATTTGCTCTGTGATTGGGCGTCTGTGTAGCCTGGCACGTGACGACAGCAGTGTTGTGCGATATGGCTAGGGCCACCACATGAAAAAAAAAATGGCCAGTTATCACGCGTTCGCCAGGTATTTTCAGCGAGGGGCGCCTTCTACGTGGCGTATGGCTGAGTCGAGGCTGGGTTGCAATGAGAGCAGCCCGTGTGGCGGACAACTGAGATAGGAGCGGGAGCATGCGGCAGTTCATCGAACGGTGAGGGCTGGTGTCGCTACTGCCTCGTTACTGCCTCAGCATAATTAAGAGGCGCGGCGACAACGTGCTGCTGAAAGGGCACAGGTACAGCCTCAGCAACCTGTTCCTTAATCTCATGTTGCAGTTGCTGTGACTGCGGGAGCTCTTGGCGCTGAGCACACACCAGGAGAGAAAGCTGACCTGCGACCTTCTCACGCACGAAGCCTTTCATTTGTGCGCGAAAGTATGAGTGGTCAGCCATAAGGCACAGTGCCGGCGAGCGGTTTGTTAGGCAAAGATGGACGATAAGGAGAGAGCCCACCAAAATTCGTCGTAGCTCTGGCACAGAGCTGCCACTTCAGACATCGTGCCAAAAGACTTGCAATGAGCATCTGAAACACGTTATCGTCGACACGCTTGATAATGGGTGGGACCTTGGCACTTTCTCTGATGCCTGCAGAGATCGAGGATGTGCTCGATATAGGCGGTAAACGCTTCACCTGTTTCTTGTGCCCGTGTACGCAGACATTGCTCGGTGCACAACTTACGCACGGCAGGGCGACCTAAAACAGAGGATATTGCCTGCTTGAAAGTGGACGTTTTTAAACTCTTATTCGTGGTTTGTATACCCCAGCTTCGCCACATTAGCCAGGTAAAAGTTCACAGTGCCCAACTTAGCAGCGTCTATCCACCTGCTGGATCCACTAACGATTTTGTAGAACGACAGCCAGTCCTCTACGTCCTGATCGTCCGTTCAAGTAAATATCGGCGGTCTCACTTATGAAGAGGGCTTGGGCAGGCGGCGGCCGCAAGAGGTAGTGCCTGTTTGGGAACGTTGGCTCGCACGGACGGTGGCCGTGTGCGGAATCGTATATCCGGAATGGAAATGGTGTGGTATCCGGCATTATCCATCACATGTAAAGGGGGCTTACTTAGCGATCTGAGCAAGCGGGTGGTAGCTCAAAAAGTATGAAGGTGGACCCAGATGGTCGTGCTCGAGCACCGATCTTGTGCGTTCGTCTGGTGGTAATGATAGGTGAGTCCATCATATCAGTCTCCCATTCGTCATTAAAAAGTTAACAAAATTAGTGCTCCTAACCTTCAAAGTACTGTGTTATTTTGTCTATGAAAGAAAACTGTATTCTGAGACTAATATTTTTGTTTTGTCTGCATCGTCCTGTATGAGATCATAGCTTCGTCATACAGTGCAATTCGTATACTTCAATCACTGAAAACGAGGTCTTCTTACTTCCGGACCGTGCCGATGCCTGTGTGTTCGTTTCGTTTCAGTGAATTAAGCATGGAGCCGAGAACGCAACGGCCATTCTGATTTCCGGCTCGACGGCAACATTCTGTCGGCTGCTTCCCCTCCAAAAGCGGACAAGGTAGGAACCGAGCAGCTGTTTTGATGCATAAGGGCAGGAAACAATGGAAACAGATGCCAAAATGCGATTTTTTCTTTGCTTTCTCCGCGCTTTTGTCAGCTGCGGAGTCCTGTCAGGTCGGCATGTATGAGCCAGTTGAACGTACATTCACGCGATCGTCCAGTAATCTAAATGACGAAAACTGAGAAAAAAAAATGCGAGGAAAATAAAAAAGACACAATCGTGACGCCCCAACACAGTGTGTTGCTGAGCTGGTGGGCTCATTCAAATAGTAGATTAAACAGTGTAACCGGTAAATGCAACTAAGATATCTCATATCTTAATCGCTTACACCTGTAGGTTTATGCCACAGGAGCGAAAGAGAGACACGCCTGAACGATAACCGATGCCAGCCCGGGACGTGAGCCGTGGCTTCACGTGCAACGGCCTAGTGCCTTCTTTATTTTCTTCTGTCGCCATCGCGCGCTCTCCGGTTTGCGCGCCGCCCGAACGAGGGCGCTACAGGGCCCCCCGTGTAGACTGGAAGTCGGAATGTGACATGCCGTTTGTGGTATTCCAACGGAAGATCAGTCGTAGATGAGAGGACTTTCTAGGGCGGTTTCCAGGTACGCCGGCTTGAGTCGGTCCAAGCTGACTGTCTCTTCACGGCCGTTCTGAAGCAGAGTGGCAGTTTTGGGGGTGCGGTGAAGGACGCGGAATGGTCCGTCGTAGGCTGGTGTCAAAGGTGGTCTGACCGCGTCGTGGCGCACGAAGACATGTGTTGCAGTGGCCAGATCAGGGTGGGCGAATATGGTCTTGTGTTCGGAAGGTCTGGGTGGAGTGGGCCGGAGGTCTTGAACGCAGTCGAGGAGGCGTTGTAGGAATTGCTGTGGCTGGTCTGGTAGCTTCGTTGACGTGAAGAAGTCTCCCGGAAGCCGTAGGAAAGTGCCATACACCAGCTATGCTGTCGAGCACTGCAGGTCTGCCCGGATGACAGCTCGTAAACCTAAGAGCACCAGTGGCAAGGCATAAACCCAGGTGGCTCTATTGAGGCGGGTAGTCAAGGCGGTCTTCAGTTGTCGGTGAAGGCGTTTCACCATGCTGTTGGCGCAGGGATGATAAGCCGTGGTACGGCAATGTCTGGCTCCGAGGATGCGATTAAGGCAAGTAAACAGCGAGGACTCAAACTGACGTCCACGGTCTGTTGTCACGGTGCAAGGACAGCCAAAACGGGATACCCACGTAGAAATGAAAACGCGGGCGACTGTCTCGGCTGTGATATCTTGAATTGGAACAGCCTCTGGCCAGCGTGTGAAGCGATCGACCATGGTCAATATATAACGGTACCCTTGAGACACTGGTAGAGGGCCCACAATGTCTAGATGAACATGGTCGAAACGACAGCCGGGTGGAAGGAAAGGTTGGGGCGGCGTCTTAGTATGACGGGAGACCTTTGTCATCTGGCAGGGCAGGCACATGCGCGTCCAAGCGCGCACATCACCGTTGATTCCGGGCCAGACATAGCGCTGGGTGAGAAGACGTTGAGTAGCCCGAATGCCAGGGTGACAGATGTCGTGTAAGGAGTGGCAAAACGGTGCGTCGTAATGAAGCGGGAACGAAAGGGCGGGGAAGGTCAGCTGAGACATCGCACCACAAGCGCTCAGATGATAATGGATGAGGCACCAGGCGTAGTCGGAGAGAACGGGGGTTCTCCCGAAAAGCGGCAAGCTCTCTATCATCTGCTGTGCCGAGGAGAATGAGGCCCAGTCGATGGTTGGCGGTGGAGAGTCAACCGCGGCTATACGAGAAAGGGCATCTGCGGCGGTGTTGTCAGCTCCTTTCACAGTGGCGGATGTCAGTCGTGAACTCCGATATATAAGCCAGATGGCGGAGTTCACGGGGCACGTACTTGGATGAGTTAGTGCAGAAAACATACGCCAGTGGCTTATGGTCAGTCAGCACGTAAAACGAGCATCCTTCCAGGAAATGCCGAAAGTGCTGTATTGCAGCGTAGATGGCTAGTAGTTCCCGGCCAAAGACGCTATAGCGGGTCTCAGCAGGAAGTAGCTTCCGAGAGTAAAACGATAAGGGTCTCCACTCGGAGTTAATGCACTGCTGTAAGACGGCTCCGACGGCCACGCTGGATGCGTCCACCATCAACCGAGTAGGGGCGTTGCTGCGTGGATGAATGAGAAGCACGGCGTTAGCGACCGCTTGCTTAGCAGCAGCAAAGGCGGCCTGGCGACCAAGGAATGGCAGAGGACGGGCCGGCGGTCGACCGAAGGAGGTCGGTGAGCGGTCGTAGCAGTTCGGCACAGTGTGGTATGAAGCGCCTGGAAAAATTCACAAGCCCCAGGAATTAGCGTAATTGGCGCAGTGTTGTAGGCTGAGGATAATCCTGAATTGCTTTCCTTAACGTGGGACCGGAGAGGGCGTATTCCTTTGGATGATATGCGATGGCCCAAGAACTCGAGCTCAGATGCGCCGAAAGTACACTTAGAGGCGTTCACAACGAGGCCGTACTGCTTAAGACGTTGGAACAGAGCGCGTAGATGGTGCTCATGATCTTCAGGTGTGCGGCTGGCGATGAGGACATCGTCAAGGTACGCAAACACAGTAGGAAGACCCCGTGTGACCTCAGAAATGAACCGCTGGAAAGTTTGAGCCGAATCGCGGAGTCCAAAAGGCATCCGCACGTATTCAAACAACCCAAAGGGCGTCGTGATGGCGGTCTTCGGTATGTCGGCGGGCTCGACAGGAATCTAGTGGTACGCCTTAACAAGGTCCACTTTGCAGAAAATTGTGCAGCCGTCGAGGCGCGATGTAAAATCCTGGATGTGAGGTAGAGGATAGCTGTCGTGGACAGTCTTGGCGTTCAACGCTCGATAGCCCCCACAAGGACACCAGTCACCAGGATCACGCTTTGGCGCCAAATGCAGCAGGGAAGCCCAAGCGCTTGACGACGGGCGGATAATGCCGAGCTGCAGCATGTGGTCAAACTCCCGTTTAGCAATAGCTAGGCGGTCTCCGAACAGGCGGCGTGATCGAGCGGCTGCCGGTGGACCCCGGGTGACGATGTGGTGTGTCATTGTATGTTTAGGCGGCTGAGTGAGGTTGCACGGTTTAGTTAACTCCGGGAAACTCGCCAAGATTTTTTCGAACGGTGAGGAAGGTATCAGCATGCGGATGGCCATTGGAGCGATGTCGGACAGGACTCCCGAGATGGAGAGACGAGTCTTACCATCTATGAGGCGGCGCCGCCGTACGCTGACGTCCAAATCGAAGTATGAGAGGAAGTCCGAGCCGATGATCGGTTGAACCACGTCTGCGATGACGAAAACCCACCGGAAAATGCAGCGAAGGCCGAAGTCGAGGGTGAGAGATTGGAGCCCATACGTTGCTATAGGCGAGGCGTTGGCAGCACGAAGCACTTGCCCCTGTGACTTTGAACAATCAGCCTTAGTCGGGGGCACAACGCTAATTTCCGCGCCCGTATCTATAAGGAACCTGGCGCCCGATAGCTAGTCCGTGACCATGAAAAGGCGGCTGGGACGAGAAGGGAGATCACACGCCGCCGTCAGTGATCCCGGCAGGCGTTTCCCTGCCACGAACATGGGGGTGTACACTTAGTGGCTCGGTGTCGGAAACGCCGGTGGTACCAGCAGAGGGGTGGAGGGCTGGGACTCCGAGCATCTCGTGCGCGTGGAAGAGCTCGACGACCGGAGCGAGGTGAACGAGTCTCCTGTAGGGGGCTCCGGAGTGCGGCAATGGAGGCGGCGAGTTCGTCGATGCGGGCCTCAAGGCGCGAAATCGCTGTGTCTGCTGGTGGTAAGACAGCGTTGACAGATGGGGAGGTCGCTTCATGTACCTGAATCGGGGAGCTCCGCCAGGCGGTCGAGATTGACGTCGCCGGCCGCCGCGAGGACGAGGCGGATTGGCTGACAAAGGCGTTGGAGGAAGAGCTCGCGAAGCAACGCTGAGTGGGCAGAGACGTCGTGTTTCCCAAGAAGCTGTCGCATTCGGCGCAGTAGTTGGGAGGGGCGCCTGTCGCCAAGGTCCCCCTCTGCAAGGAGCTGCTGTAGGCGGACAGCGTTCCGAAGGCATGAATCGTTCCAGCACCTTGGTTTTAAGGTGCTGATATGGCGTAGTGTCCGAGGGAATTGGAGAGGACGTCGAGAGCTCGCTGGCAACGTCAGGAGGAAGGACGGAGGCTACGTGGTAGTAGCGTGTCGTTTCCGAGGCGATGCGGTACAGGGAGAATTGCGCCTCGACCTGATGAAACCAAACTTGCGGGTCCTGTGGCCAGAAAGATGGGAGACGCAGTTGCACGGCCGAGACGTCCTGCGGACGTGAGGCTTGTTCGGTTGAGGGTCCATTCGAGTCAGTCATTGTCTTCGTCCGGGTCACCACTTGTAGGCTTATGCCACAGGAGCGAAAGAGAGGCACGCCTGAACGATAACCGATGCCAGCCCGGGACGTGAGCCGTGGCTTCACGTGCCACGGCCTAGCGCCTTCTTGATTTTTTTCGGTCGCCATCGCGCACTCTCCGGTTTGCGCGCCGCCCGAACGAGGGCGCTACACACCTGAGTAAGTTAGGATTCGCTTCTTATTATTTATTTATTTATTTATTCAATACTGCAGACCAAGAAATGGTCCAAGCAGGACAGGTACAAGAAGCAGGATATAAACAAAAACACATGTGATAACAAGAATATATCACGAGAAATGGAATCGAAACACCTACTAACAGAGCGCATAAAAGATAACATGGCAAAATATTACATTTAATGGATACATAACACAAGTTAACAGTGCATATTTTAGCTCTAAGCAACAGAAAATTGGCTAAGATCAGTTAGACAGTTCCACTCTGATACAGTACGCGGAAAAAAGGAAAACTGAAACGCGTTGGTTTTAGCAAAATACGGGGTTAAAGAATGGGTGTGATGATGACGTGTATGCCTAGTGGACAGAGGAGATACATATGCACGCGGGTCAAGGGCTAACTTATGATTGACAAGAAGATACAGAAGGTTAAGGCGGTTCCTTTTTCGCCGTAATTCAAGTGTTTCAATGTTGTTAGCAGTCATAAGTTCAGTCGGCGAGTCCGTAATTTTAAACTTTGAATAAGCAAACCTAACAGCTTTTCTTTGCACTGCTTCCAGTTTTTTAATGTTAGATTTAGTAAAGGGGTCCCATACAACACAAGAGTATTCTAGTTTTGGTCTTATGTACGTAAAGTAACTAAGTAGTTTTATGTTAGAAGGAGAATTTCTAAGCTTATGTTTTAGGAAACACAGTTTACGGAAGGCAGCAGAACATACGTTGTCTATGTGTAAGTTCCAAGAGAGGTCATTAGTTATTGTTACGCCTAGATATTTGTAGTTGTTAACCTGTTGTAGTGATGATGAGCCGAGATTATAAGTAAAATGAAGAGGTGTTTTTGAACGAGTTACACAAAGGTAAACAGTTTTTTGTGCGTTGAGTGCCATACCATTGTCATTACACCAGTTTAGTATGTTATTAAGACTTAAGTTCAAGTTCTGTTGATCATTAGAACAGGTAATTTGACGAAATAGCACACAATCATCCGCGAACAGTCTGATTTGAGTTCCTGGTAGTACTGTGTTTACAATGTCATTTACATAAATTAAAAATAATAGCGGCCCCAGAACACTACCCTGTGGCACGCCTGATGTTACAGGAAGAGAGCTCGAATTGTTCCCATCTACTGAAACAAACTGTGAACGTTCTGTTAAATAGTGTTGGATCCAGGCAATGAATATGTCGGGTAGATTGATGTCCCTGAGTTTTGCAAGCAGTTTGTGATGAATAACTTTATCAAATGCCTTACTAAAATCAAGGAATATGACGTCCATTTGACCATTTTTATCCAGAGTTTCTGCAAATGAATGAACCACTGAGACTAACTGAGTTACGGTTGAATAACCTTTTCTAAAGCCATGCTGAAAATTAGTTAATATAGAGTTTTGTTCGAGGAATTCCACAACGCGCTTGGATATTACATGTTCAAGCATTTTACATATTGGTGATGTTAACGAGATGGGACGGTAGTTCTCTACGAGTAAATGGTTGCCTTTCTTAAACACAGGAACAACACGAGCCCTCTTCCAGTCACTGGGTAGTTTTGCACTCGACAGCGAACATCGAAAGAGCACAGTGACAAAATGAGCAATACTTTCTGCATAACGGCGAAGAAAAACATTAGGGATATTGTCTGGACCACAAGATGATTTAGTGTTCAACTTCAAGATCATTGCAAAAACACCAGAATATGAGATAAAGTCCACTTCATTAGGCTGAAACACTCTTTTCTGAGGCGTATTAAGACTCACTCGCCTTAGCAAACACGCTATGAAAAAAATTGTTAAAATGCTCTGCAATGAGCTTCAGATCTGTAACTGTATTTCCATCGACTAATATATGTGATACCTGCTTCTTACTATCGCTCAGGAAGTTCCAAAACTTCGTAGGATCGTTTTTTAAAAAGTTTGGCAGTGTTGTTTTAAAGTAAAAATCCTTTGACTCGCGCAAAGCACGTGCCAAATTTATTTTAAGTTCATGAATAACAGCTGACTGGGGATTACTCTTTTTCAGCCGTTTTAATTTGCGTTTTAGATGAATGATTTTACGCGTAATCCATGGGGTGTTTTTAGCAATCTTTTTAGATTTGGTTGGTACGAATGAGCTTATACAGTGATGGCACATTCTAGTAAAATGGTTCCATAGGGCGTCAACATCACCCTCATTTTCAATAAAGTCATCATAACAACTTCTCATGTACTGCACAATAGACGCGTCATCGGATCTTGCATAATCCTTGAAGCTTCGAGTGGCTGTGCGTTTGTGACCGACTGAGCTTAATAAAGGAATGGTGACACTTACAAGATGATGGTCAGACAGGCCACTTTCAATTAGAACTGTATATTCATAAAAATCGCGGCTTAGGAACGCTAAGTCCAGTATTGCACTAGACGAACCTTGTTCTCGAGTAGGCTGCCTAACCACTTGAACTAGGTCGTGAGTAAGCATGATGTCAAAGACTATGTTAGCATTCTTGTTCGATTTGCGGCTTGCCTGAAGGAGTTCCCAATCAACATTCGGTAAGTTGAAATCCCCGATAACAAAAATTCTTTTACTGCGAAATTGGGTCATATGTTCTTGCAATTTCAGCAAATATTCAGGAGCAGCGTCTGGTGGTCTGTAACACGCGTATAGCACAAAGCATTGATTCCAAAAAGTTATTTTGATACACAAGCACTCGAGGTCAGTGACATCCGCTAAAACAATCGCTTGTATTGAAGGCTTGACAAGGATAGCAACACCTCCGCCCTTATTTGTCCGGTCCTTACGAAAGACACTGTAACTCGGAGGAAAAACTAAATCATCACTTATTTCATTTCGTAACCAGGTTTCGGTGAATACAGTAATGTGTGGGTCGTATTCGAGTAGTGTGGCCTCAATAGAATCTTTTTTGTTTACAATGCTTCGTGCGTTTATATTTAGGATTCGCAAGTTCTTTTCCTTCGGTTTCGTAGATTTGCGGGTATTCTGATCTACTTGACGAGATAAATGAACGCGTTTAACGGATGTTGAAGGGCCCTCGTGATCACCCCTCACTCTCAATTCTTGTTTTGCTTCTGCGTGTAGCCTCTGGTATTCGGGCGGTTCATGCCCGCATTGCCGTTTTTTCCCAACGGAACTTTATCATTCAAATCATGATCCCAGACGTAAGGCACGTTGTTTATGTACAGTTTATCGAACGCTAGTGAAACCTTCTCTCTTTTGTCACGGTTCTGCTTTGCACTAGCCCACAATTTCCTTCGGATGTCGCGAATTCTTTGGGAAAAATCTTCACCAATGGAATAGTCCGTGCCCTTGAGTTTAAAGCCTTTTTTTAGTATTGCATATTTACTTCTTGAATCTAACAGTTTAAGAATGACAGGTCTGGTCGAGTCATCTCGTTGTTTGCCTAGTCTGTGTATACGCTCGATTTGTACGCTCTCAATTTCAAGAATATCCTGAAAAATGCCTTTATTTACGGCAGTTTCAAGTGCGGTGTTAGTTTCATCTTCTTTTTCTGGAAGTCCATAAACGATCAAGTTAGAGCGTCTGCTATAGTTTTCCATGTCGTCTATTTTTGATTCAAGTACTTTTATAGTGTTTTGCATGCAGTTAATTTGCTCTTGAAACAATGCTACCCTTTGTTCGAGAGCGGAAATTGAATCTAATTTTCTTTCAATGTCTCGAAGACGAGATTCCTTGATTTCTTTAATGTCCGAAGCAATTTCCTTAAGCTGTTTAGCAATTTGCGCTGTGTCTGGGCCCGGATTTTCTTCTATGTCGCCTCCAAGCAACAGCAATTTCCTGGCCGAGTAAGTGAGTACATTTAACATATCACACAGCCGGGGGCACGGCAGCATCAAAAGAAAACGGTTTATCGGAGCGAAAGCATTTATCATAATGCCCTCTTACCTGCGCAATCAAGACAAGCGGTTTTGAGTGATCCGCATGTTTTCGATGCCGCCGTGCCCTGTGGCCGTGAAGTAAGCTGGCAGCCCTTTTATAGCCGGCCAGCACAGTGTCGCCGCCTGTGGTGGTGCTACGCAGCGCTCCACGCGCGGTGACGTAGAGCGATGATTCAGTCGTTCCCACGGCGGCCAGTTGAGATCGTGAAGCACGCACCGAGGCTGTCCATCGAGGTGAAGCATCCCCGGTAGCAGCCATGAGCGGTTCCGAGCACCATGACACTGGATCTTGCAGAAGGCTAAGGATCTGCGCAATCAAGACAAGCGGGTTTTGAGTGATCCGCATGTTTTCGATGCCGCCGTACCCTTGGTTCTTGCGATGGAAAACCTCCAAGTGTTGCATGCTTCAATTATTGCTTCTATCACGAGGCAAGGTTACCCAAAAACTACATATGTTGTGCGTACCTTTGCCGCGCATGTGCTGCTCTTATACCAGAGCTACACCAGATGCATTTCGCACTTCACTGTTTCATGACATGAAACAAAGTTATAGTGAAGCTCCATTTGAGTACACGTACACATGAGCGCATTACATCTGTTGGTTTGACTTGCATCTTCGGCGAATATTAAAGCCACGTTTTTAGTCCTCGATGGTGTTCGATTACGTTGCTAATAAATAAAAAAATATATCGCGCTTGGTTCACCGGTTTGTCGCCATTGGTAAACCATGCAGCCTTTCTCTGCACTTGTAACTTGTGAATAGGGTGAAGGACTCGGGGTACGTTCAAATTAAACAAAAGAACGGAATACACTTACTCAGAATTTTCGGTGATATTGCGAAAAACGTAAGTATAGACGTGATGACTGCATTTTTTAGTCAACCCTATAGTTAGTGAACACATTGCTAGCGTGATAGCGTTACAGAGCCCCTTCAAGTTAAGAAGGAAAGTTTGACGAATTGGTAATGAGCACAATAGTGCACAGTTACTTGCACAAAGAAGGCGGAGATCACAAGAAGTAGGAAGACTAGCAAGGTACCATGTTTCGTCTTTTTCCTGTCGCCGTAACACTAGTAGTATTATATTACTAACATACTCACATAATGTTGTTAGATGGCCTAAAATTATGATACGATTATGAGAGACACTCATGTGAAAGGCTTCGAAAATTCAACCATCTCGGCTCTCTAACGGGCCCATAAGCTTAAGTATTCGGGTCTCTAGCATTCTCGCCTCCAACGAAAATGCGGCCACCACCACCGGGATTCAATCCCGCGACCTACGAGATGCAGTCAAGCTCCATTAAGGTTTAGGTCACCATGGCGGGTCCAAGTAATTGTGTGCTATCGACTTCATATACATCTAGTCACAAATTCTTATCAATGCATCTTAAGTGACCCCTCTTATTATATATATAAAAACCACAAAGCACAAACCATGTTTTCTTTTTTCCTCTACTCTCTGCAGTTCCGTCAACCATGGCCGTTCCTTCGGTGTCGCCCTCGAAATCCGGCTTGCAACCGTCTCCTGCATTCATTGACAGCTGCTGGACGGTTCCCATAATCACGGGGTTCACATGTCTCCTCATTTCCATTCCTCAAACCAACAGTGGTCTGCTCTTCGTACTGTTCATGGACACGTTCGGCGTAGACCGGGAATCAGCCGCATGGCCCAAAACCATTCATACAGCAACGACCAGTGTGATGGGTGAGACATACTTGTGAGCCACAACAGCAATTACAAACGACGCTGCATAAGTTTCTATTAATGGTGGTTTGCATGGCCCATGTCTTAGTTATCTTGAACTTCTTGTCGACGCCAAAGAACTGCCTTATGGCAGCTAAAACATGTATTTTGTCTTTCTGTTTGATTTAAATGTAATCGAGGCGAAGCCAATTTGCATTGCACAAGCTGAAATACTTGGTAGTTGGTAGTGGTTGGCACAAAGTCTTCAAATATGTGAGTGGGTAACTTAAATATTTGCAGTTGTTTAGGTTTGGTGTTTTACTCTCTCACATGTATTGAAACCTTGTGATTGCAGTCCATGAGCTTCACGAAGCATGTCATCTTCGTTCAAACGGCCCCTTCGTTCAAATGACTTCATGGACTAGAAACATTGGGCCTGCCGTATAGCTACGAATTTCGCAGGGTATAATAAGCCGCCTGGCACAAAAACAAAATGTCGCATTAATAATAAAGTCCGGGCATGATTTACTGTGACATTAGTATATCAAGTAAAAGTGCATATGCCGATATATTTTCTGTTAAACTACTGCAAATTCTATCTATTGTGTTTATTAGGGGTCATTCCCGTTTAGCGGGGAAGAAGCAGAGAGGCAGAGGAGAGCTCTAAAAATAGAAAATTGTAGGGTGGTGTTTGAAATGAGCAAAAGAATTTTAAAGTAATTTTTCTTGCAACTGGTGGAGCAAAGTTATCGTTATAACCACACCAAGAGCCGTTTGAACGAAGGAATGAAAGGAATGAAAAGATAGTACACAAAGAACGGAACGAAAAAGCGGAATACCCAACGTTACTTCATGAAAATTTGGGACATTCAAACGCGAGGTTTGTGGGGAAAAGGAAAACACTGAGTGTTTAGGTATGCTCTGTGTAGCGTACATGTATGCCGGTGGCGTTGTCACTGATGCTAGCCTGTTTACTTCAAAGGTTTTGCATTAGGAGCTATTCAGCACGAGGTGTCCATTCACAGCACGATTCTGGCCGGCGCCATCGTGTGCCCTCTGGCAATCATCGCCAGTGCCTTTGTACCTGTGATGTGTGGTGCGCGTTCAAAGTGCGCGCCTTCAAAAAGTGCGCGTCACGGAAAAAAAAAACAAAAGGAGAAATACCAGAGTGCACGTGCGGTGCTGCTTAAACAAGAATGACGACGTTAAAGAGCGTCAAGCACGAGGATGCGTGGCAGGACGTGAAGTAAACAAAAGGTAAAACATCCAATGGGCAGCGAACACGGAGATTTCAAGGCCCAATGGCTTGACACCACGAAACAGTAGTATCTCCAATGAGAACGAGACAAGTGGGCCAGAGCTGAAGCAGGAGCCTGGGGAGACCAGAGCAAGGGGAATTCGAGGCAGGCAGTGCAAGCGGAAGGTCGTCACCGGACCGGGCGCTGAAGATGGGCCGTTGGGTTCCGGACCCGAGCCTACAGGACTTCCACCGGCCGGGGCCTCCTGCTGTCGGGTTCCCGCTCCAAAGGACCGTGGCCATCCGGTCCTGAACTCCTTTCCAGGGCCTGCGGACTTTGGTTCCGGCAGGCGAGCTACAGCCGTCGGGCTCCGGGCCCGAGCTGTGCGCCCAGCTGCTTGACCAGGTCGACCCTAGTTCCCGGACGCGTCGCCACCAGCCTGCGTTCTCCCGTCTCCGACGTGTCCACGCTCCTCAAGCCGAAACCATCACGATTTGGTAGGGCTTTTCGACGTGTCGCCAGCAGCCAGCGTTCCCTCGTCCTCGTCCAGCCCACGCATTGACGCAGGAGTCACGGCGTTCCGGTTTCTCATCACCGCCGAAAACCAACTTGTGGGTGAGACTGCACCGATACTCTTGCGCTACTCCCATCACTCAGCCCCTTTCGAACGTTAGGTTTAGTTACTGACTTTGAACGTTCTTGTTGGGTGTTTACAGATGTGTTTCGTCATGTCCAGTCAACTGTTTATTAAGTGTTTTGTTTTGTGAGGAATCTTTGCCTTTTTACTTTTCAATTAAACTTTTTGTGTGTTTCTTGGAAACCGAACGGCTTTGTCCTTATTAGAAAAACTCTCCGGGGCTCAACCAGGAGAAACAAATCAGCAACAAGAACCCGCATCACAAATTGGCGTCCGCGACAGGACAAAGTCGTTTGTTTTTCCAGTAGATTTTTTTGACGCGGTTAACACGATGACGAACACGTGGGAGTTAATTGAGTTGGCGGATAAAATGGGACTGACGGGAGCGGAGTTTAGAGTATGGTACGAGGAGCGGATGGAGAGGGAGCGTGAGCAACGGGCTGCAGAACGAAAGGCGGCGAAGGAAAAGCTTGAATTGGTGCTTAGAGCTAAGAAGGAGGAGCTAGAGCGCGTAACGCGTGAAAATAAAGTGTTGCTAGAGCGTCAGACACGCATACTGAAGCAGCAGCTCCAATTAGAGAGGGTGGACTTCGAGCGGCGACTCGAGCTTGCGATGGCGAAAAGGGGGCAGCTGGCGATGCAGAAGGTCGAGCAAGCGGTGAATGTTTGCTCCGATAGCAGCGTTTGCTGGAGGGAAGTCGATTCCTGCAAGGTTGGCCTCGAGCCTCGCGACAGCCTTACTTCGGAGCGAGAAGCTCAGATAGAGGAAGGCAGAGAGGTGGACAGCCAAGAAGGCAGGAGTCATGAGGAGTTTGTTGAAGCGACGGAAAGCTTCTCTGGCTGGGAACATATTACTTCCGTTAGCTGCTTGGGGACCTCTGAGAGGCCAAGCACCTATGAAGAAGAGCGCCTGGATATGGGCGACCTAGAAGCTGTGGAAAATGTTGTGGAGCAAAGCTTCGATAGCAGGGAACGAAGAAGCTCCATTCAGAATGAGGTGTGGATCAGAACGTCTCAAAGGCCGAGCACATTTCGGGAAGGGGTAGGGCTACCTCTCAATAGCTCCATGGAAGGAGCGCTAGAACGTCATTGGGAAGATGGCAGCGAATGCCATGAAGGCTCTGATATAGTGGCCACTGATTGTTTTGTACCGACAGAGGTAGCAGCAGGCACCACGTCAATGGTCCTAGACCATACGTATATCTCACTCAGAGAGAGAGGGGATTCTAGTTCACAGGATAGCGTAACTGCTATTTGTCCGAGAAAACACGATGGGAGTGCTGAAGCACTCTTCAAAATAAACAGTATCGAATCGGAGGTGGGCTCGATAGTAGGTATGGAGAATGCCAGACAGGGTCTTGAACCTGAGAACGTGATTGGTTTTGAACCTATAATTAAGTCCACTCAAGATGAGCTGTATAATGACCGAGCACAACGGCATCCCTTCTCAAGAATCCAGGAACCTCACACGCTTGTCGGAGCGTTTGGGCTTGCTGAGGGCACCCCGAGCTTGTGTTCATTAGATGGTGAACTAAAAGAAAGCATTTGTGTGAGAGATTGTGGCATTTGGACATTCGTGTCTCAGTGCGTTTCGTGTCGACGCCGACGGCTCGAGACCGCGCCCTGTTCCTCTGTGACCGGTAAGCGTTCATGTGGCCGGCGGGGGCGCAGACACGCGTTTCAGCGAAAGTGCATAAAAGCATGTTTGCCACAGTTACTTTCGAAACGTGCGAGAAGGGCAGTGCGTCTGGTTCGGGACGCGATAACCTGAGTGTAGGGTTAGAAAACCGGTAGCTCTTTCTGGACTTCGACTTTTAGATGCGGACACAAGTAGCTTTGTCCATAGTCGATTTTGTAGTAAAAAGGTTTATTCCGGGTTTCAGAACTTTTAAATGCAATTGGGTGAATCTAAAGTTTAAGTGTGGACATTTGGACGATGTAGCGAACTGTAGCCCGGTGATGTGTTGAACTGCGTGGTGCAAATATGTGGTTTAATTGTGACGTAGTGCAGAACGCGCACTCATCGGCAGTTTTTTTTTTTCTAAAAAAAAACTTGAATAAAAGGGGGGCGTATGTGATGTGTGGTGCGCGTTCAAAGTGCGCGCCTTCGAAAAGTGCGCGTCACGGAAAAAAAAAAACAAAAGGAGAAATACCAGAGTGCACGTGCGGTGCTGCTTAAACAAGAATGACGACGTTAAAGAGCGTCAAGCACGAGGATGCGTGGCAGGACGTGAAGTAAACAAAAGGTAAAACATCCAATGGGCAGCGAACACGGAGATTTCAAGGCCCAATGGCTTGACACCACGAAACAGTAGTATCTCCAATGAGAACGAGACAAGTGGGCCAGAGCTGAAGCAGGAGCCTGGGGAGACCAGAGCAAGGGGAATTCGAGGCAGGCAGTGCAAGCGGAAGGTCGTCACCGGACCGGGCGCTGAAGATGGGCCGTTGGGTTCCGGACCCGAGCCTACAGGACTTCCACCGGCCGGGGCCTCCTGCTGTCGGGTTCCCGCTCCAAAGGACCGTGGCCATCCGGTCCTGAACTCCTTTCCAGGGCCTGCGGACTTTGGTTCCGGCAGGCGAGCTACAGCCGTCGGGCTCCGGGCCCGAGCTGTGCGCCCAGCTGCTTGACCAGGTCGACCCTAGTTCCCGGACGCGTCGCCACCAGCCTGCGTTCTCCCGTCTCCGACGTGTCCACGCTCCTCAAGCCGAAACCATCACGATTTGGTAGGGCTTTTCGACGTGTCGCCAGCAGCCAGCGTTCCCTCGTCCTCGTCCAGCCCACGCATTGACGCAGGAGTCACGGCGTTCCGGTTTCTCATCACCGCCGAAAACCAACTTGTGGGTGAGACTGCACCGATACTCTTGCGCTACTCCCATCACTCAGCCCCTTTCGAACGTTAGGTTTAGTTACTGACTTTGAACGTTCTTGTTGGGTGTTTACAGATGTGTTTCGTCATGTCCCGTCAACTGTTTATTAAGTGTTTTGTTTTGTGAGGAATCTTTGCCTTTTTACTTTTCAATTAAACTTTTTGTGTGTTTCTTGGAAACCGAACGGCTTTGTCCTTATTAGAAAAACTCTCCGGGGCTCAACCAGGAGAAACAAATCAGCAACAAGAACCCGCATCACAGTACCCAACATGGCTTGG